ATAGGTTAAAACTAATTGCAACGTAAGTTGCAACATTAAAAGTTGCAACATATTAATTACAGTTCCCATCTTTAAATAATACTATATCATTATTAGATGGTTCTTCTTCTTTGTAAATTCCTTCTATTTCCTCATAAATTGACCAGAAATGCTTTCTTTTAGTATATTTCTTTTGCACTTCATATTCTTATCTATTAGCTTGAGTTGAGGAATCAGGTCTAACTTTAAGATCTTCCTTTTCCTTTTGACTAGAAGTCTCAGAAGCTGAGGTTTTTATAGGTTTACGTACTAGAGTTTGTATTATTACTTGTGGATTTTCCTTTCTTTAATCCTTCTTTTTAGAAGAAGTTTCAATAGCTAAGGCTTTTACTTGTGGTTTTTCATTTTGACTAGAAGTCTTGAAAGCTGGAGTTTGCTTAGATATATTAACAGGAGCTAGTCTAAATTGATTTTTATTACTTTTATAATGTTAGCAAAGTTTTTAAGATATGGCAAAAATCTTTATTACAGCAAATACATTTATGATTTTTTTTATCTTTTCTAATCATGATATTATAATAAGTCTAACCTCTAATATATGTGTAAACTTTTACTCAATTTAAAATAATTAATTATATAACCCTAATATTTAATTATCTTTTTTCTATTTTTCGAATTTATGAGAAAATAGGGCTAAAAAATGTCAACTTTATACTGAATTAGAATGTAGTAAGCCTATTGGATCACCTTGTGATTATTGTCACTTCATACTAGGACTATTATATGATCCAATATGTTAATAGGTTTGATATGTGTTCAAGAGGTTAGACTCTCTTTTGTATCTTTAATACTGTGAAAAATAGCTAACTCTAATTGCTTGTCTTGTTACTTATCCTGATAATTTATGCTAGGTAATTTTCTTTTTTCAAAATATATAAGAAAAAAGGAGGTTAGACTTTTTTTGCAGTTAGATTTAATATATGGGAGGTGATCTGTAGAAAAGGGAGAAATCTGAAAATTTTAGTAATTTTAGTTACTAAGCTAATTTTGTTCACATGACTATGATCAGTGAAATGAACTAATTAAAAAAATTTTGACTAAAATTTGGATTTCCCCCTTTTTTACTGACCACCTCCCATATGGTAGTTAAGATGTTAGACTTTTTTACCTAAAGGTTTGTGAAAAGGAAATGACTCTAGAATAGTTTTCTATATATTGATAAATTGATAACATGTTAGAACATAATCATTAAGCTTTTGATTTGCAAACTAAATAACAGCTAAGTCTAACTAACTACTTTGAAGTTAGATTTAGCATATAAATACCAAAGATTAGTTAGACTTAGTAAACTATGAAATCAGATAAGAATTAACTTTAGAATTAATTTTATGATATCATGAAATATGATATGTATTTTGAGCTTGCATGATCAGTTTCAGCTCAAATTGTGTCATTTTATTTCTTGCTTTTTGATAACTTCTTAAGAGGTAAGCAGAATAACATAAAAATTGTTATTCATATTGGATTTGCAAGAATTATAAACTTAAATATTTCGTTACTTTATTCCTTAATATTTTTGTCTTCTTTCAAAAGCAAACAGAATAGTAAGATTTTTTGATATATTATTTGGGATTAAAATCATGCTAGAATAGCTATATCAAACAGTGTAATTCTTAATATCAGACAGGCTAATTCCTAGCCAAGATTGATATTAATAACTTTGATTAGCTAGATTTGAGCTAAATTGGATGAGAAGTTTGAATTTAATAATTGATTCATATAATTAAAATGGATTCGTGGGTGGATTAAATAACTTTTTGAATACTATTCAAATTTCTGTCTCAGAACCCTCATTTTTATTATAGTGAAATTATGCTTTAAGATATTATCGATAATAGGTAGAAAAAAGATCAGAAAGAGGAAAAAACTCAGAAGAATACAAGAAAAAAGAGTATGAAAGCCATGAAACCTGAATTAATTTAGCACTTCATGCCTCACCTGGTAATCAAAAAATAGAAAATATATAAATTGCAAGTTCAGCATTTTATACTTCAACCTGGTAATCAAGAAATGGCAATCAAAAGAAAAATATATAGATTGCAGATCGGCACTTTGTGTCTTAACCTGACAATTAAATGGAAATATAAGGTATGATTGCAAGTAAATTTAGCATCCAAGCTGACATAAAAGTGATCTACAACTGGTAAATTAATAAAACCATTCAAGTTCTCTGCTAATATCTTGTTAGTTTCTTATGCTATTATGATGCCAAATTGGATCCTCAATCACATACTCTAAAAATAGCCAAAATTATGATATAGAGCTGACTGAAATTATGATATAGAGCTAGTCAAATTAACCACAAATTTACTGTATCACTGACACAAATTTTTTTATTATAATTTGATATTTAAACAAGCAACCAAGCATACATAAAGGATAAGCATCTCAATATAAAATCTAGCATCCAACCAGATGCAGAAGACCAGCATTCTCAACATAAAACCAGGTATCCAAACAACTACAGAAGGTCACTAACCCCTAATATAGAATTTGGTATGTAAATGACTCATAAATAAAAAGAAAAGCATGATATTTAGAATAAAAAGTAGGTGGTATTTAGATTATAGTGTAGTAATATAAATAAAAATAAAAGAAAAATCACAAATAGCAGAAAAAGTTTAAATAGATAGTTAGAATATGAGAAAAGATATCATCAAAAGAAAGCATGTAGGTTAAAGAATAGTAATTAGATTATGTATTCAGATTAAAGCGTGATAATCAGATCATAGCTGTTAGACTAAAACATGGTATTCAGATCATAGCATTTTATTTAAATTATGTTATGATATTTAGATCATAACGAGGTATTCAGATTATAGTGTGGTATCATAACCTAGTCCAAGTGGGATACCACGCTTTAATATAATTGTATTTAAACATGGTATCCTACCGCAGTTATTTATAATAAATGTCTTCTATTAGAAATGCTGTCATCAACTGCATACTTTGGTTGTTGATAATATTTGTTTTATTTATAATTATTGATAACTTTATAAGTTATATTAATATAAAAATTATATAATTTTTTCTACCTTCTAACCATTCCTCTATATAAAATTCTAAAATTAACCTCCTGTTTATTTTTATTATAAATCGTGTTATAATACCTAAAGTTACAACATTTATCCTAATAAAATTCCTAATATAAAATCTTTATAAAAAAATAAAATAAATCAAAAAAAATAAACTTTAAAAAATTAGATCTAGAAAACATATTAAGAACCAATTCAGATATCTTTCTTTTAAATAGATTATATCTCTAGTTTTAAAAGGTTTAATTTTGCTATACGATTCTTCCAATGGAACAAAAACTTTAATTTTCAAATAAATGATCTTATTAAAATTTTCATTTATCTTAACGATCACAGTTAATTTTTTCATAGTGAAATCTTATATGATCCTTTTAAGCAATCTTGAATAATACATTTAACTTATAAAACATTTTATTTAATTTTATGAATTTTTAAATTCGTTTTCTTTTTTTTTGTATATGGAATTTAAATTTTTTTTGTATGTTTTTATTGAATATAAAATATGAAATTGCAAAAAAAAAAAGAAATTTTTTTTAATGTGGCGGGTTTTTCTTTCATCTTTTTTTTCTAAGGCATATATAAATCAAGATATGCCTTTATGAAAATTTTGGTCTTTGCCTACAAAGCCGGAATAAAAGGAACTAAAAAAAATTTGTCACACGACGAAATCAACCTGACCTTTGCAATAGAAAGGGGGAAAACTACCAAACAATGAAATCTAAAAAGACAATGATTGTCATTATTGTGATTTTTGTGATTAGTAATAGGTAGTTTCCCCCCTTTTTATACTACAACAAAAATAAAACTTTAATTTAAATAAAACAAACCAGGACATGGTAAATGTACTAATTGGTCACAATAACACTTTTTCATTTAAGAAGCCGAGTCAGAAAGAAATAAGCGTGGGAAAGTATATATCAATCACACACCAAATTAGTATCAGTTGATTTTTCATCTATGATAATACAAATGGGTTTAAGTATAATTGTCGTGCTTGGGAATTGTTTTAAAAAAGGAAGTAGGATATTAATGAATATTTGCATTTGCAAATGCTTCTATAACTTCGTGATATGATTCTGCAGCAAGTAAAGTTGTTTGTAATGTTTGTTGATGTTGGGTTCTTTCTCTTGTTTCAAAAACCTTTTTTTGTACAATGTGCGTCTATAGTAGAACTATACCATTGTCGTGTGTTCAGTCGCCAATTTAATTAATTTTACTGCTTACAGTTAGCGATATAACCATTAAAAAAAAAAAGATTATCTGTGCTGCGGAACATGTGAAATTATGTGCACCTATATGAGGATTTATTTTTATTTGGTTACATTCTTTATGTAAAAATTCTTTATTATATCTGTAAATTCTCAGCCCGATTTTATCTTCAAATCTTATTGTAAAAATCACTTCCTCTTTTAGAAATCATCTCAGGCTTATAAGTAAAAAAAAAAAATATTTTTTTTTCCTCAAAAAATAATTTCATCATGGTTGTTATTGAAATTAAAACAAAAGATGAATTTGATAACTATATATCTCAAGGAAAATTGGTAAGTGTTTATGAAGTTTTTTTAAATTATAAAATTGGATAAAATATTTAAACATTTTCTTATATAAGATACTCGTCGATTTCTATGCTGTATGGTGTGGACCTTGTAAAATGATAAGTCCGAAAGTTGAAGCTTTATCCAATGATGCCGAATACTCTGGAGTTGTATTTTTGAAAGTTGATGTAGATAACGGAAATCTTCAAGTAAAACTTAATATTTAATTATATTTAAATTAATTTTTTTAGTAAATAAATTTTATAATAATAATATTTTTTTTATATAAAAAGAAACTAAGTCAAGACTATGAAATTTCAGCGATGCCAACTTTCATATTTTTCAAAGATGGTAAATTACTTAGCGACAAAGTTGTTGGAGCATCAGAAGATAATATCAAAAAAGTGATCAAAAAGCATAAATAGTGCTTCGTAAAAAAAAAAAGTATTTTTTTAAAGATTTCGCAATTTCCTATATTCTGAAATGAAATGAATAAAATTATAAATTAAAAACAAATGTTATTTCAACTTTCACATTCAATGTAAATGATTTTTTTTAATGGCAGCTAGTGGAAATTCAAAAGACAAATTGGTGTCACCGACACCTTGAGCATTTTTTTCGAATCAAAATATATTTTCCAAATATTTTTAAGGCTCCTTCACCCACCAATTGGTTTACGTCTGTGAAATTATTAAATTCAATCCATTCTAAATTATATGGATTCCATCACATATATTATTACATTAGGTTACGTTTAATTTTTTTTTTAATTTTTGATATTTTCCAGCCTCAAGACTACTTTGGGATATTTTTTTATCCAAATTTATATAAATTACTTTTTAAATTTATTCAGAATAAAAATATTGATGAATATATTTTTTAGACATCTTATCCCCTTCCAACATATTTCCAATCTTTGTTATATTCAGTCCATAAACTTTTAAATAAACTTTTACCAACTAGATCTAAACTGACCATAATCATATCCCTTTCAAATTGTCCGCATAAATCCAATAATGAATAAATCCCATTTTTCAGTACATCCCTTATACTAGACTCTAATAGACTATTACTCGTTTGTATATAAATATATTCTGATAATAACGAAGGAATATGTTTGATAAAAGCCTTATTACCAGGCTTTTTAGCATGTGAAATCATTGTTAATAACCTCGTGAATGTTTTTGCACTTTCATTTGATAATGGTTCCTTCAGATGAACTTCCCACCATGAAATGTATCGATTTCCCGACTGTTGTTCTTTTTGTTGTATTTCTTTTAAATTGTTTTTAATCGATTTTGTAATTTTCTTGAAACAATGAAACAAGCCTTGTATAATAAATATAAATGTTGGTATTGTATGAATTAATTGTTCGCAACGATGAATAAGTATGTTATAAAGTAAATAACAAATCTCTTCAAATAATTCTTTATATTCATGATCTTCGTAATGTCGTTTTGGTGATGTTAAGGTTATCACTATGGATAAAACTATTCCAATATCCGTACTTTGAAACGAAAATGCCTAATTAAAAAAAACATTATATTTTATTTTCATGATAAAACTTATGACATCATCATTTTATCCTTACCCTGTGACAAATAAGAAATTTCGATATTTGTAAAATTTGTGTTCCATGTGAGACTTTATCTATTAACTCAGCCATACCACAAATTCCACAAAGTAAATTAGGAAGTTTTTGTTCCAATCTACGTAATTGCCCTAAAAAATATAACGTATTGACAATTCTGAGCGTACAAGGTTTTAAAAACAGATGAAATTATCGTGAAACTTACCATGATTGGAATTACGAAAAAATACATCAATCAGGTGAATTAAAAATATTAATTCATACTTGTTTGTATTTTTATCATTTGAAAATTGAAAATCTTCAATTTTAGACAAAATAATATTAGCAAGAATATCATATCTTTCATTTGACGCCCTTGAAATAATCGAATTAAATATCGCGTCCAACTCTTTCATAACTTCACGATTCGAACCTATGGTATAATTAAATAACAATTACAATTAAACAAAAAAATCAATCGAGCACAATCGTTCAATGCAATTTACCTTCATTATAGAAAATCTTCATTAAATCACAAACTAGAATAAACGTTTCATGCGAAATATTCGCAAAAAATTCGATCTCGATTAAAGATGTAAGATCAATAACCATAGATAACAACGTTACACAATGTTTAAATACGACTACTTCATTATCAGGTATCTTATCCGATTCCATAGAACCTGCGCGTAGCATCGATGTTGTAATTTTAAAAATCTTTAAAAGCATGGAAACCATAGTCGACGCTTTATTAATATAAATATAGCAATAACAGCATTAGTAAAAAAATGTTTCAAAAAGTAAATTAGATTATTGAGAAATTTTTTACAATACCTTCTTTGATAACTTCCAATTCTGAATTATTGTCTAAATGATAATATTGTAAACATATCTTATATGTTTTCAGTTCATTACCAAGTTCTAAAAACAAACTTCCTTTCCGATTTAAATCAGCGGAATTTTGAATTTCTTGAAGTGATTTATCAAGGACATCTGAAAGAAGTCCGTTTAAAATCTTTTTTACGATGCTTTGCAACGTTAAAAATAGTATCCAAACAGAATTCTCACGATCAATTCGACCATTTTTCGAATATCTACAATCAAAATTATATAAAATAAATACCTTTCTGGAAATTTAAATCGATTAAATCTAAATGAATCTTACTTGCGAGTTCCAGCGAACTCTATACCAAGACTCAAAAATTCAAAAGAAAACATCCATCTAATATCATTTGAAAACGACATACAAGAATCTTTCATTTCAGGAATAGATTTTTCTGCACCATCATAAAGGTTTTTAAAATGATCTACAATATTATTTAGATAATCTAATTTAAACCCATTATCATCCGGATGACTAACGAGAACCTGTCTAAAATTTAGCAAAAAAAAACGGAAGTCAATAAACAATATAATGATATTGTAATATACAAAATGATTCATCTTTACCTTATTATAAGAGCAAATGTCTGACATGTTATTTGTGTGTAATTTTCAAAAAGATTTTGAATTATTGCAACATCATCATGCCCTAAATTACCGATGTAACCAGTTATATACTTTTGATACGCATTTATGGAAGATATCCACCAAATAATAAAAGACGCATTCTTTTTCTAAATATTATGATACAATTTTTTTAAGTTAAAAATAAAAAAGAAAAAAATCAAAAAATAATATACTTACTAAAACATCATCTTTTTTATTCGTATAAGCAATGAATTTACCGATTAAATTTCTGCATAAAATGGAGCATTTGATTGTGCTCGTTACTCCGTCATAAGATTCCGTCTTAATAACCGATACCCATTTATCAATTAGCAATATAACTAGCGAAAGATTACCAATTTCTTGCTTTGTAAAATATTCCATCGGGAATAAAAGTAATAAAGCAAGAAATTTTGCAATCTTATTAATGCATTTCAAAGAGACACAAAAACTTGGGTTTATATTATTAAAGCTCTTATTAAAGCAAGACGTCACATTATCCAATAAATTAGATTTGTCCGATTGTTGGCCTTGTAAACTGATAAGTAAAATAATGTCTAATTCTTTATGATTTCCATTTGAACATGAAGTCATTTCTTCGGCACGAATATGTTGAAAACAATTATATATTTCTTCTAGATATATCTTTACAAAAATATCTATATTAAAAAAAGAAGTTAAATAAGAAATAAAATAATTCGTGGTAATTAAATAAATAAAAAAAAAACATCACACACTTCGCAAGGATTTCAATTCGAAGAATTCTGCAGATTTTAAAAGTTGTAAGCATAAAGTTCTAACCGAAATCTCCTTGGGAGGTTGCAAGTTGATTGACGAACAAGTAATAGACCAGTTGATGATGAACCTCACAATTGATGCAAGATGATGTTCATGACACAGATTGCTTATATTAAAATAAATTGAATAAGATTGACTGTTGGAAAAAAGTTCGATAAGAAAATAGAAATTTAATGTTACCTTACAACATCAAGCCAATCTCCAAGGATTGTCATACAATTAGCCACAGCGAAATTCGTATCATCCAAGTCAACCAATTTTCCTGTCCAACTAACATCAAGATTTTCAGGTTCTTTCAAGGTATAAAGGACTGATTCCATTAATTTGTGCAAAATGATTTCTGAGCCATCTGAATCAATATTCGTGTTATATCGATAATTTATTGATGAAATAGATCGATGAACATGTTGAAGTCGTACTTTATTCTAAAATAAAATCAAATTCGGAAAATGTTAACATATATATTATTTTTAAACCAAATAAAAATATGGAAGCAAGCGTACCAGAAACAACTTCGATTTCGGATATGTAAACGTAGTATCACACAATATTGTAATGAAATGTGGTGTGGAAGTATTTTTCCAATATATTAACGAAATATCTACCAAAACATTATGCAAACTAAGTGCGGCATATGTCATTTTTCCAAATAAAAATTCATCTTTATCGTCATAATTAATAGACAAGATTGGATAAATGAATCGGTCAAACATTTTTTTAAATTCTTTTTCCAATTCATCTCTGAATAAAGCAGTGAACCTCAAAGCCTTCAAAAAGCTACTAATTAACAGAATCAAAGGCTCAATAATTTGTACGATTTTTATATCAGGAGTACGTTCTTTGTCTAATTTCCTTCTCTTGTTCTTGTTTAATAATTTTGTGAATTTACTTTGTTCAATAAAGCCAGATAAACATACATCACATACTTCAGATGTAAATGATGCCATAATCCCAATGGCTTGAAGCATTGATACATTATTTGCAATTTTACTCGAGAATCTAAAATTTAAAAGAAATTTCTTTTATATTCATTCCTTGACTATGTTTATATTGTTCTAAAATCAACTTGATTTAAAAAAAATAAACTTACTCGTCCAAAATCGCAGGACAAAATAATGGTGATTTTAATATCATGTGCGCGTCCATTTGTATATTACTTAAAGCTGATATAAGATTTTTAATATATAAATTCATTTCGCGAGATTTGGCATATATTTCCAATAGCCTTTTCAACAAATCAACACAAACATCTGTAGATTCGATCTGAGACTGAAAAGAAATTATAATATTAGACTTGTTAACCCCTCATAAAAAGATAAATACAAACGTTTCATACCACAAGAATAATCCTCCATACAGAATCAATATTTTGCTGAATAATACTATATTCAATCTGCAGTAAAATATCAAATAATTTAAATATCAGACAATAATTATCGCTAACTAAAAACAAAGAAGACATTTAATTGGACAAAATAAATAAAACATAACCATTAAAATCAAAATCAAATTATTCACCTCCAAAATTAGCGATTGAAATAATATGAGAAGCTATTTTCTCAAGAATTTCTCGATGTTGACGTGATATATCATCATTCTTTGCTTGATAAAGGTTATCAGTTAACACTTTATCTAAAGTTTCTGTCAATTTAATTAAAATATTTTTTGAGTTTTCATTGTTTAACTCTATATTTTGTATTGTATAATCTAATTCTGTAAATAATTCACTTTCGAATCTATCTTTAATAGATAT